CATAAAAGCATCAAAATAATCATTCCTATATCAAGGGGAAACCAAGTTCTGTCAGAAGCAGAGGAGACACACAAGTAAGTATTTCAAAACACGAGCACTAAAAGGCCAGGAGGCACAAGTACCCTCAGCAAGATATACCCCAGTACTGGATGAAGCAAGTCTGCAGCCTCTTATAGTGCTGGAAGTAATTAGGGAGATGGCCAGCAGCTGAACATGATTAACTCTGCTGCAGGAGCTCAAGAGTCTGTGGAGAGAACACACTGAAACCCCTACACTTCCTAACCAATCGGCCCCAATCTATAAGACTTGGCCCCCACCTCTCCTCCACACGTACGCTGAGTACTGGCTCCCCACAGGGCTGTGTGCTGAGCCCCCTGCTGTACCGTCTCTACACCCATGACTGTAGCCCGGCCCACAACAACAACCTCATCGTCAAGTTCGCTGATGACACCATAGTGGTCGGACTAATCTCTAAGGGAGATGAGACATTTTACAGACAGGAGATCCTGGAGCTAGCAACCTGGTGCTCAGAGAAAAACCTGGCTCTGAATATCAAAAAAACCAAGGAGGTAATTATTGATTTCAAGAAGCACAGAACCAACCTAGCCCCCCTTTACATCAATGGCGAATGTGTGGAGAGGGTTCACACTTTCAGATTTCTTGGTGTCCATATCTCTGCTGACCTAAACTGGAAAGAGAACACCACAGCGGTCATCAAGAAGGCTCAGCAGAGACTACACTTCCTAAGAGTCCTTAAGAAGCACAACCTGAACACCAACTTGCTGCTGACCATCTACCGCTCGTCCATCGAGAGCCTGCTGACATACTGTATCTCAGTATGGTACGGCAGCTGCACCCTGGCTGACAGGGAGAGGCTTCAGAGAGTAAAGACAGTACAAAAGATAATTGGCTGCCCTTTCCCCTCCCTGATGGACATTTACACATCACACTGCCTCAACAGAGCAGAAAGCATAATCAAGGACTGTTCACACCCAGGTTTTGAACTGTTTCACATGGTGGTCTTCAATCATGTTTCAGTACAAAAAAAATTAAACTGTCCAGATGACCTGACTGAAAAATGTTGGATTGTGTATCTGGATTATTGAGCATGGACTTTGTTGTTTTCAACCAGTTTGGCAAGACTGTCAACAAGGAAGAGGGCTGGCAATGGAGGAGGGGCGTACCAAAGAGACCATATTATCACAAGCAGAACTGGTTTGTTCCACTTTTGGAGTAAGCTGTTGGAGGAAGAATCAGTTTTGTTGTGTGTTTCCTTGACTGATGAAGCCTTCCGGATCGAAGGCAAAACGTTTCAGCACAAAAAAAGAAACTGTCCAGATGACCTGACTGAAAAATGTTGGATTGTATACCTGGATTATTGAGTATGAACTTTGATGCAGCAGACTGTTTTTAACTTGACTTGTTGAAAAACAACCTTTTGTATCAATCAATTTTACTTTAACTGGATCAATTATTAATTTATCTATAAAGCTAGTCTGTAAAACATTGACAATATTCAGTTTTTATTCAAGATTTGTTTTTATTGGGCTTTTCTTCTCATTCCATCTGAAGCTGGATTTGCTCTTTTCATCATTCAAAACTCAGATTTTTTTTAATGTATTTCTGGTTTTACCTCATTGTACAAACATCTTTCATTTTTAAGCTCTTCTCTTCTTTAACAGGGTGTGATGGAAAGTTTTCTGGGCACAGCCTTGGCTGGTACTGTCTTCTGTCTCTTCGGTGGTCAGCCTCTCATTATCCTCAGCTCCACTGGTCCAATTCTCATCTTTGAAAAGCTCCTGTATGACTTCAGCAAGTGAGTTTCTTCATTCCTGCCACATATCTACAGACATACAGTTATAGTCAGACGTTTTCATGATAAGCATGAATGTAAATTAATTTCTTATTTTTAGTTATTTGAATTGTTTTTTATTCAGGGTGTAGTGATTATCCAACATACAATAATATTTTAAGGATCTGGCAGCACAGATTTGATTTTATTGTGCATTTTCTCTAATTCACACAAGGGCAGACAGATACATTCATATTCCATTTTAATTTCAATACATTAATAAACAGTCACTGATATTTGATTTAAAGTCTCCTTGAGAGTTACATCAAGAACCATACTTTTTGTGTTCATTATTAATTTTCTAATGAAGATTTGTTGAGGACAAATTCTCTCTGTGCTCCGGTGAAGTCAGACGTATCACTCAGCCCCCTGTGAACAGTAAACAGCCATCAGGGTGCTAACGATCCATCGTTAGGCTGATGGTCCTTCTTGACCATGTGATCAGCTGGTTTTGGTTGTCAGCAGCAAACTGGTTGATCCACTCTGAGAAGGTGCTATTTAAGAGACTGAGCTGAATACAGCACCTCAGACTGAGGAAGTCTTTTGGATGAAAAACGAAACGTTTCTACATTTTTTTTTTGTTTTGGTTTTTGAATGTCCAGAGGACCAGAGTTAACTTTTTTTAGAAATCTCCTCCATATTTTTCACATTGATGTGAAGGTTATTCTCCTTGTATATACAGTATATATGTCCATATGACCATCCATCCATCTATCCATCCATACGTCCATTCATATGTCCATATATACATCCATCCATCCATCCATCCATCCATCCACACATCCATCCATCCATACGTGGATCTTAACATAGATCGATCCATCCATCCATCCATCTATCCATCTATCCATCCATCCATCCATCCATCCATCCATC